CGAGTCGAGTATCAAGTAACTCATTTCGGCTCATTAAGAATTCGAGTCAAGCTCGAGCTCAAGTTGAGTCGATTCAAGTGGAATATTTATCAAGCTTTGATCGAGTCGATCTCGAGTAACTCACAATCTATCTCGTCTCATTTATAGTCCTAATAATGAATAGTTAAGTGATCATTTTGTAACTTTTAATAGTCGATGGAGTCAAAAAACAACAATCTATAGTCAAATGATCATTTTGCAACTTTTAATAGTTGGGGGACTCAATAAAGTATCACCTTGTAGTCAGGGGACCATTTATATACTTTACCCTCAAATTTAATGAAAGTGCATTAATAATATTACCAATCAAATTTAGTTTTTCTAAAAAAACTAATTTCTGAAATTTAAAATAAAGAACTAAATTTCGAAAGTAAGAGGAGAATAGGGCTTTAGGGAACAGTTATACCTTCTACTAGAGTGATAAGATGAGTGAGAAACAAGGAAGTTTGGGTCATCAAAGGAACAATTTTTGTTTGACGTGTTGTAAAGTGAAGCCAAGTTTAAAATTTTTGACAATTGAGGATTGTGTTGGGATAAATATATACTTTTGTCTTCACATTCCTTTGCCAAAAACAGTGAAAAACAAAGTCATGAAAGTCAAGGAATTTTTTTCAGTCACTTTCTTCTTCAATCAAGAGGGCTTCCTTTCTTTTTACCCACCAATGGATCCCAAGGACTCCAAGCAGCCTCCCCCACATCAATTACCCAACTTCTTGAGCCTACCATCACAACTCCAACAACAACAGCTTCAAAACACAGGCGAGAACAAATCAGCTGAAACAAAGGATGCCCTATTGCCCTTACAGTTAATGCAGATAAAGAAGTAGGAAAGAAGCAACTTTTGGCCCCAAAGAGAAGTTCCAACAAAGATGGGCATAAAAAAGTTACAGGAAGAGGTAGAAGGATAAGGATGCCTGCTCTATGTGCAGCTAGGATCTTTCAGTTGACTCGAGAATTGGGTTGCTCCTGCGGCTGCGGAGCTTGCCAAGGCATAGAGTGTTGGAAAACATAGGATAGATGAAAATAGCTTGGATGAATGGTTGTCAGGATGGTGGAAGGTATTCTTTTTTGCATTGAGAACATCTTTATCATTTCCTCTGTTTTGAAAAAAAAACTTGTTGGTTCGGTCAAGAGGATGGTTTGGATCTCATCCTCCAAACTACGGAGACAATTTTTTGTTGCTGTAAATGAAATTTCATCTGAAGATAACAGCGTAAAAAATAACGAGCAGATGCAGATGGGGTTATGCAGCTGTTTTACCTTCTTAAAGCAAAGTTTTTTTAATGTGTGATGGCATGGAAGTATTGGGATTAACAACTGCAACTTTCATCCACAATTGGATTACAGAACTTTACATCTTTACATTTCTTCTGTATGTATATGGGGGGTGGTAGCATACAAATTATGGTTTCAGCTCTAGTTGGTAATGCTAGTTTGGTTTTTGATTTCGAAATGACACCGGAAGGAACGCTTACCTGTCATATTTGAAGCAAACAGTCATTCTCAAAGCAATGAACTAGCAGCGTTGTTTCTGATTGTTAGGATGTAACTGAATCGTATTGAATGAGTAAATATTAATATTTAAATATGTACCTGTTTATTAAGAATTTTAAAATTTTATTTATTTAAAACTATATGTTTGTATTTGTTCATTTAATGTTTGTTAATATGTTTGTTTAATTTTTGTAATGTGCATGTTTAATGTTCATAAATATATTCACTTAGCATCTTCACAAATAGTGATGACAAATGGGCGGGTCGGGTGCGGATATCCTCTCCCATATCCCCATACCCACATAATATTTTTAAATCTACCACCCGCCCACCACTTATGATGGGTAAAATTTTTCAAATCCACACCCGTCCACGCGGGTTCATTCTCAAATTCATCCCTACACCCACTATCCAACTGGAGACGTACCCGGCTAAACCTGTCTGACAGCTACCTTAAGTTATATATAAGCAACAGACATGTCCATTAAAAAACATAATAAAATAAACCAAGGATTATAAGTTATATCTTATGCAATATTAATATTTATAAATTAGTCTATAAAATTATACCTAAATTTATAATGGTCCAAAATTTAATTAGTATGTAGTGGGCGGGCGGATGCGGGGCGGATAGATGCGGGGCGGGTAAGGTCTCAAACCCATCACAAGCCCACTACCCGCGATGGGTACCACTTTCTAAATCCACACCCTCCCACTACCCACTAAAGTTATACCCATTCTCACCCCAATTGGAGCGGGTACGGTGCGGAATTCACGAAATTGTATCCGTTTACCATCCCTACTCACAAACACTAAATGAACATGTTTGTACACATTTAAAAATCTAATTGTAAATAATAAACAGACTACAAATGAAAATATTTATTAATTATTTATATATATAATAATAATAATAATAATTAAATGTAAATATTAATAATTATATCAGAAAGACGTAAAATAAGCATGTTTGATTATTTTTTTAATAATTTTATAATTTGAAACTAATTAATGAAAGCTCATGTAGAGGAGGAGCCCTTGGATCAGAAAACGCAATACTTGGGATCATATTTGAAACTTTAATTCGTATTGGAGACTCAAGTTTCAAGCTGATTGCCAAACAGAAAACAAAGTAAGAAACACAAGTGGATGTAAACAAACGAAAACCACGAGCTATAATAGAAGCAAGCAATGTATTCAATTGATAGACTAAAGGTAGAATAATATCTTCTTTCGATCGTGGACTTAGGCTAGCGCTGCCTGATTCTAGTTGGATTCTACTTGGTATGGATACTTACACCATGGATGATGGATCAGTTTCATAAGATTGCTGCAGCGAACCAAAGACTTCTTCTCTATTTCCACGTCCATTGTAATTCATGGAATTTACATTCGTTTGGCTTTTTTTTAATCTATTTGTTTCGGTATAAATAGTCGAGAAACGTCTTCGTTTGAGTTCAAGCTGTTGAGAAGCATTTTCGTTTTAGTTCAAGTTGTAGATCAAAAGACTCCCTGCTTAATCGCATTGTAGAAATGGAAACCCGGTGAAGTACGTGCGCGTTCTCACTTTTCTTGTGAGTATGACCATTGCAGGGCTCAACGGAGTCGAGGGAACCGGTTATTATTTCGGTCCGTGGGGGAAACATGACATCGAGGAGGCTCAAAAGTTGGAATCATGTGCATACGCAGTACGGCATTGGAGAGCCCCGGTTTCCGAGCGTTGCTGCACCGTAATGGAGAAAAAGGTCAAGAATCCAGCCTGTTCTCTGTTTTCTCAAACAGCATACGATGCCGGAGTGAGTTGCAGTGATTATTCCAAAACGCTGAGACATTGCCGATCGCCCTGTTGGATACAAGTGTGGAGGTACAAATCGCATATTGCATTACCTTTATTCCTTTTCTTTTCAGTGCATAGTTAATTTAAATAATTATAATGAAACTATTGTTTATTTCTGGCAGTTTTCACTCTGAAGACTCCCCATTAAGTGGTATCAGCAGTATTAGTTTATGTTAAATAAAATCTGCACTTGTATGTTTGGATAACAAGTAAAAGGTGCACTTGTTTCTTTGGATAATAATAAATTAAAGGTCACTTTACTTTGGATAATCAAAGTAAAATCTGCATTTGTATGTTTCGGTAACAAGTAAAATGTTTATGTTAGGCCATTGAATAATTGGAGACTGCAACTTCTTTTTTTTGCCAATTGGGTTTGGAAAAACAGAATATTTTCTTTCCATGATGCAATACTAAAACTAAAGCTACTTTCCAATTTAAATTCAACAAATCAAGCCAATGGAACAATAGCAGTCAGATTGGTCCTCCTGGTAATGGTAATGACATTGTTTACTAGTTCCTTTGAGGTGACAAATCATCAACAGTGACAAGTCATCAACAGACCGTCTCGTCATATGGTTACCAATCATCTCCTTCTCCACCACATTACTATCATTTTTTTCTTATTATTATTTTAACGTGGCTGGTTCAAAAATGGCTACAAGGATGAAATTAGAAAAAGCAATGATGAAAAAGAATACATAAACATATTTGGAATTGAATTTAAATTCTTAGATTAGGATCGAAACGAAGTCGATTATAATATTAAAATCAATCTTATTTACCAAATTTAGGGCCAAACTAATATAGAACATTTGATATTGAAGACTTTTTAAAACAAATGACGTATTTCGGCCTAATGATTCGTATCAAACAAATATTAAAAGACGATCTACCCCTATTTATGCAATGACTCCTTCAGGAGCCGAAAATTAAATATTTTTTTAAAATTTAAAATAAATAAATAAAAAATGAGATATTTTCATTGTTTTAATTTCATTCTAATTCTAATTTATAAAAATTTCTCATAATAACCCTTGTAAAAAGCTTTTTTATTATTAAATTATGTCACGCTGAACATGTTGGTAAACAAATCCATACATACAAAATATTTATAAAAAAAACACATACTACAATCATATTATTTAACATCTTAATGATAATTTATTTTGGGTTTTAAATGGAACAACATAAATATTCTTATCATATTATTTAACATCTTATTTTGGGTTTTAAATCAAATTCTGAATTGAATTAGTATTCACTTGATTCGATTCGTGTATCCTTAAACCACAATCCCAACTTTAGGCACCGTTAAGGAAGGCTAACCAATTTATGAATGCACGTTGTTTGGTTCCCCAGAAGACAGAACTGACTGACTCTGCTACCAAACAAACTAACTTGGTCCAGGTCCACCCCACCAACTCTAACATAAAACTAATGTGACAGATTCATAGCTCTCCTCCTCTTTAGGTTCATGGGCTCATGGCACAAGACCATCCGCATATATTCGATACAGTTGAGCCCTTTTCTGATGGCAGGACCAGTCGGAGTCCATGATCTCCAAACAGACATTACATTTCTAAAATCACTCACCATCTCTTATTCACTTCATCACGTCAAAACAAACGAACACTGAAAAGGTTAAATGTAAAAAGTTCTAAATTTTAAAACCGACACCGGATTACAGATCTAGCATTACCTGTTTCAATCAAGTCTAAGCTTCAGAAGTAAGAATTAGTTGATTCATCTTGCACTAAACTCATTTAATATCCATCTAATTATAAAATTCCGCAAACAAACATGTTCTAAAACAACAAAAGCAATTAAAAAAACCTTTTGAACTGCAAACAGAGCTCAGCTACAAATCCTTAGCGCTTCTTCTTGCTTGCTTTTACACCACTGGATTTTGATGGGGTAACCAACAGGTAGACGAAAAGAGCTACAATCGATATCACAGAGATTTGAGATCCATACTTAGCCAGCAATCTCTGCACAAGATAATGCTCACATTAATTTTTGTTTTACTCCGTAAATCAGGCTAAAAAGGTTAAGAACTAGAAGGGTGGCTCATCAAGGATCCATCTATATTCATTTGTTATGTAAGAAGAAACACTAAACCACTAAAAGTTAATCACAACAGATTTAGAAGCATGATTATTTGACAAATATAAGAATAATCACTCATACCTTGGCCTTCAGTATTTAGTCCCAGCCGACGAAATATCAACAAAAGAAAAAAAAAGCCTTAGTGACATGGAAAGAAGGATAAAGACATTCAATAAATTTGAATTATTTGCTTATTGTTATTCGAAACAGAACTTACCCAGTCAAACTTCTTCTCGGGAGGTATTTCGGCGAGGATATCTAATGGCAAGAGTGAAGTTGAATATGCCTCCTAAAACAACGAGCAAGTTAGAGCATCAAAGCTTGTTCACACTTTTTTCCCCTTTGCTTTGGCTTACATTTTAAGAATAGAAAATAGACTGTTATGGATCTCAAACCTGTGGAGCAGCCTTTGTGGGAATACGGAAAGTGATAACTGCAGGGGCACCATAGAACATTCCTTGTCTTTTGGCCTCTAATTCAAATGAAAGTGACAGAACACCACCACTGCAGATCGTAGAATTTTGGAAATTTAATTAAAAGATATAATCCAGAACAAACAAATTAAATGGAATTAACTGAAACGAAATACTCACGCATCAAGTTTCTCCCATGACTGTGAAATATTACCACTGATGACATCAAATGCATCTTGGGGCCAGCTATGATCCACGAGACTCACATCATATGCTGTCCTGAATTTTTTTTTCCAGAAAGATTTTCCTCAAGTAAGAGTATATCCCAACAAGACATGAATGAGAAACTTAAAAAAAGAAAAAAAGAATCTTCACGTAGGAGCATAGTAAAAGGGGAAAATATATGAAACATACAAGATTTTAGGGAAGAAAAACATGCAAGAAAATAAAATAAAATTTCAAAGTAATAGTTCCAAATTTACCAGATTTGCAGTCCTCTCAGATCCAAGTACCAAAAAACAAAATAAAAAGGTCGATTTAAATCGACTTATTTTCTCTTTATGTTCTCTAAATTGAATCAACAGCAAAAATAAAGTAAAATTTGATCTTCTCTCAGACATGCAAATCAGATGCTGACATGAAAAGACTAAAACGAAACTGTAAGCCACATGAGATAGTAAGGATAGGTCGAATTCAGACTTAATCAATTCAGAGCTTCAACATTTCCATCTCGATGGAGTAATTAGAGCTAGATCATAACTAAAATGATTAAAAATGAAGAAAAGGAAAAGAAAGACGCACGAGAAGCCTTGATTGTAGATGTCGATGGAGACGGACACGCGTTCGGCGCCGGATTTGAGTCTGGTGAGCGATGCCTTCTTGTGAGCGATGATGAAGGGGGATTCGCCAGCGGCGGTGGCTGTTGATATCAAGAAAAGAGCAATGAATGCATTGAGCAGTAGATTTGCCTTAAGCTTCGCCATGAATCTGCAGGAGCTGATGTTTATTTTTCTTTTCCCCTTGTTGACTTCGATAAGAAATGGAAGTGGTTAAATAAAGGGTTGCGAGAGCAGGATTCATCTATTTTGTTCGAAACGGTACCGTTTCGGTTTTTACCCATATGGGCGGAATTCACCTTACGGATCTATGAATTTATATAATAACGCTCAAGGTTTGTTTGTTTAGCTGTAATTGAAATTTTAGAAAATTAATTATATTTTTAAAAAATTAATTTCAAAAATTTAATTATGTTGTTTGGATGTTACATTGTAAAATATTTTACGTTGTTTGATTAGTTTTCCTGAAAACAATTTACGAAATTGGTTTTTTTTAAATGTATATATTTGTATATTTTTCTTGTTATTTACATTTTATTTTTTTAAGTTATTTTATAAAATTGTATTTTATAAAATTTTGAAATGAAATGTTTTATTTGTATAAATACATGAAATTAAATTTGTAGAAAATATACTAATTATATTGATTGTGTTATAAATAAAAATTTTATTAGGTTATTTGGTCACTGCCCTCATCCTTTATGGTTATTTAATTCCTATTTCACTTTATGTTTCAATTGAGGTGGTGAAGGTTTTGCAAGCATCCTTTATTAATTAAGATTTTACTAATGTATGATGAAGATACTATTAAGCATTTGAATAATTACGGAGAAGTTGGATTACGTACATTGGCACTGGCTTATATAAAGCTTGTGGAGTCTGAGTATTCTGCTTGGAACAATGAATTTCAAAAGGCAAAAACTTCTATTGGATTCGATAGAGACATAATGCTCGAAAAGGTGGCAGAGATGATGGAGAAAGATTTGATTACAAACATTAAGATAACAATATTATCCAACCATAATAATACAAAGATATTGCCTAATTAATAATTAGTGCTACAACACATCAAACCGACATATGATTAAAGTCTATAAATAGTACTACATCACATTAAAGTTTAAATATTGTCTAAGTCATAAATAGTAGTACTCCACATTAAAAGTTCACATCCCAACTTTGAGGAAACTTTTGAAGCCAAAGTTTCCTATGTTTTGGTTTTTTTTGCTAAGAAATCTTTGGCCTTCAACTCATTTTTTGCCAAAAAATCGAACAACTGACAAAGAAATTCGTCATCAAAGCCTTCTTTCTCCATCGACATAACTTCTTCATACAGATGTGGTGTCTGATCCTCTGTAAAATTTTTAGTGCTTCTGCAATCTCACCAAATTTCCCACTTACCAATTTAATATGATCATCATCGACATTGTCTTGGACTTTCTTCCTTTTACGTTTTGATGTACCAGATGAAGATAATTTTGTTTTTTCCTCATCGATATCTTGTGTGTCGATATTTAACGGCATTGAACCTTCATTAACATCATCCAATTCTATATCAGCAAAGGTTCTAGCAAAACTCCCTGTTGCCATATCTTGACCAACAACAAGAGCCATCTCATCATAAAAATCAATTTTTTTGTTCAAATATGATCCATATTTTGGGTGTGCCTGTTAAATATTTGGTTAGTCAGTTGGTGAGTTTTAATGCCAAATACAGGACATCACAAGATCTTATATTCCTTCTTTCTTTTTTTAAACAGTTTCACATCTCCATTGTCTCATCCTAAATGTTCCAAATGATAGTTTTATTAGAATTTAGTTAACCTAAAGCTAAAGTTCATATTATGTTTTAGCTTTTACCTAAAGCTAAAGTTCATATTACGTTTAAGCTTTTACCTAAGCTAAAGTGGATGTAATTTATGTCGATATACTATTAAGAATTTATGTCATATATCATATATTGAAAAGCGTATCTCGTTTCCCTTTTATTATCAATGATATGCCAGGTTCAATGGTCGATCCTAGTAATGGAGAAAATTTTAACCAAATGTGCAGGTGGACTCCAGTAAGAAGAACCTGTCAGTAATATTACAACTAATAAGATAAGAACATCATATAACAGAAATATTAATCGATGAGAACAAATTGACAATACGAAATATTAATCGATGAGAATTGACAATAAGAAATATTAATTTTTGCGGAAAATCCTGATAACATCAACTTATAGCAGAAAATCCAGTGATTCAAAATGTCAAGAACATCGTTCTCGTTTAGTTCTAAAAAAAGGTTACCCTCCACGAGAGAAATGAGTGTCACAAACCTTCCTGAAGTTCCGGAAGAAACACCAAAGTGGTATACTATACTCATCCTATTTTGTGAAACTACTTCAATAACACAGAGTGCAAATAAAAATCTAAAATTTTCCGGTTATGGAATTGAGTAGCTGCCCCTTTTTCATTTTTCAACTATGGTCTAGTACAAGGGATTGTTTTTAGCTCACCCATCAATAGAAAATCTATTATGCAATCTGAAAATATAATTCCCCACAGATAACTTGTATAATGAATCTAATCTATATCGGCCAAAATCTTGAAATTTTGGTTTCATCTTCTACTTTATTGAATTAGAATGATTGCAGTTAACATATTTCGGTAAATTTTTATTGCGAAATTGTAAAGCTAGGATCAATAATTCAAACTTTTTAACTATAAACACTGGTGAAATAGAATACAAGGTAAGATACAAACCACACTGGTACTTTAATATTCATATAGCAACGGATGCTATCAGTGTTAGAGTCAACATAGAGCATAAGTACAAAAAAAATCCACAAAGTCTAGCTTTATGTAATGATATGCTGAAACATGGTTGATCAAAAAAAGATTATGTTTCCACATCATTATATGTTCTGTAGATTCTTTTTACCTTCTGATAATCATCTAAATATATTTATTTTTCCCTTAACATGCTTGGTTGGGGCATGAAGTTTAGATCATTTCACAATCAGCAGAATTCACAGGAAGTTTAGATCAAAGCAGCGATCATCAATTTTTACATACATAAAGTTCGATTACGTATTGATTATGGCAACAGAAACAAGACCTCCAATGGTGGATTTAATACTCGTTACATTGTTGAGAGAGGTTACAAACTACAGTTCAGAGCACAAGATGAAACCGGAAAAACTAGGGCTTGGTAAAAAAGGAAAAAAAAACAACTCCAAGAGTTGTCATGGCAGACTATATAAACAGGTTGCCATGGCCAAAGCCCATGAAAGCTAGACATCGAACTTACTTTGAACTGCCAAAAGCAAAACCACAACTACATTGACTGGAGATTTTCAATCTGCCATTGAAGAATAGGAAAAAAGACCCAACCATCATTAAACGTACCCATAAACATAATAGAATTAACAGAAACACAAATCTTACAAGTCGGCTATAACAATCGGACTCCGCTTTGCGAACGAGAAGAATCCGGCAAATGATAATATGGAAATGGTAATCTGGAAAAGCTGAGTTCCCCTAAAAGCTGAGTTCGACCTCCTAAATGGTAATCTGGAAAGCATATAGATACCAGTAAACAACGAAAAAGACAGAAAATTCATAAACATGAAACTATAAATGGTAATAAAAATGGGTTTTAAAAACCAAAAAGATCCCATATGAAATGTCGACCTCGGTGGTTACCGAATCTATCACCACATATAGAGGGAAAATGGCATTGCGATTGGTACCTTTTAAAGAGATTTACCCTTGGAAATCAAAGAGAAAAGCAAAAGGGGAGGAACAACATTAGGGATTCGAAATATTACATTGGAATCCTCGAGCTCCTCCCTTGATTTTGCTGGAAAAATCTGTTGATTTTGTTGTTGGTGAGAAGAAGATGGTGATAGTTGATCGGAGAATGAAGGAGATCAAAGGCAAAAAAAAAGGGAGGCAGGTTCGTAAAATAAATTCCCGATTTTTCCATGGTAAGTTATTTATGGGAAAAAAGAGTTTGTTTTACGTTGACTGTAATTGGTTTTACATTGACCAGAGGCTTTTACGGGAACCAAACACGGGAATTGAGGGAAAACCAATTCCCGTAATTGGTTTTCCTGAAAACAAACAACCCTAAATCAGTGAATCCCATATAAAAATCTAGTTAGAAATATAAAATTATTTTTAATGGATAAAAATAAGTCTTTAAACTATACACTTTACTTTATTTAGGTGTCTAAATTACTTTTTTATCAATCTAGGTATCTAACATTTTACAATGTTACATATTTAGGTGTTTGGATCATTACTACCGTTAAATTTTGTCATTAAAAAACACGTGTCACCTTTATAAAATTTTAAAAATCTATATTTTTTAAAAAATAAAATTTTTAAAATTACATGAGTCTAACATGTGTCACTTAAATGTAAAATTTAATGTCCATTACGGTCGAGACACTTAAAAATGTAACGTTGGAAACATTAGACACTTGGATTGACAGAAAAAAGTTTAGACACCTAAACGAGAAAAAAAAAATATAGTTTGGACACTTAATTTTATATTAAGCATTTTTAATTATAATTTTTACATAAAATATTAGGAATGAGGATAGGATTTAGAGCCGACAGATTTTGATTTGACTCAATTTTATATAAAAAATATTTAAATTCAATTATGGATGATTGGATTATTTTTTAAGTATAAAATCAAGTCTAATTATGATTGAATTTAGAGTGAAAATTTCTCAATCGGACTCAATAATAGTGTAATTATCCCTTATATATTTTGAAAAAATTATAATAATACTTGTTTCTAGTTTTTAATTAAGACCTTTTTTTATCAAATAAAAATAAGATATATATATATATATATATATATTTGTGTCAAGTTGAGTTGAGTTGAATACAATTTTTTATCGTAAAATTTAAATTGAGTTTCAAGTTAGATAAAACCTCTCTGTTGGGATCGATGAAGCTCGTTCGATCAACCGAAATATGTCAAGAGGGGGTGAATTGACTTTTTGATGTTAATGGAGTAAGGATTAAAAAGATAGGAAAATTTTCACAATGATTTATAGTGGTTCAACTCTCTCAATGAAGTCTAAATCCACTACCTAAGCTCATCACTTAAGATTTTCTAACAAATACACTAATTTGTTCTTTCTTTTTCAATGATAAAGATATAACATTTACAAACTCTATAGCTTTTCAAAGGCTTGGCTAGAACCAAAACCCCTT